AGGGAAATTAGAATTTTTAAGTTTTATGAAATATTTTCTTTTTTCTTTTCTTTTCTTTATTGCATTTTTTTTAATTGCTCTGGAAAACCTATACTTGGCTGTTTAATGGCCATTGTGACAACATGCCCCAATGGGCCAAAATTGTCAATGCATTTCTAAGGGAGAGCAGCATGCTCACTCATCATCTAGAAATAATACTAATCCAGACATGTGTACGTAACAGTAATTCAGTAATATATCTCACAGATAAGACTATGATCTGTTTAGTCTAATCTCCTTTCACACTTCAGTCAACAGGACGCTTGACTCTCTCAGGCGCGGCCTGCCCTTCAACACCCGCCAACACTCAACCACATACTGCAGTTTGCATTCAAATCTGAAAGTTTGCATGTTCAGCTGTCAATGCAAATATCATAGCAGTGCTCTGGTTCTGCATTTTTATTTCTGTGTGCTAGGGAATGTACCACAATAGCTTTGAATGATGATATATGTGGTGACGATGACAGTGGTGTCCGCACACTCTAAAGGTAACAGTTTGAGATAAACCTCATCGTCATCTGAATAGCATGGTTCATTCAGACGTTCGCCAGAATAGTTTAAATGTAGTCATTTTGGGTCCTACAAAAGATAAACAAGATCGAGCTGTAGAATAGGTCGAGCGCAACTAAAGGGGTTTTGTGGGTATGCCGCAAAGCTAATGTGTGGTCCAAAGGCCACAAATAAAGTGCAAAGTGCGCAAAACGTTTTCGGGCTTAACCCTTCATCATTTTGATTTTTGAAAATAAAGATGTAACAATGAATGTTCTATTTAATTTAACAGTTCAAAAAAAAAAATATATATATATAAATGTGTTTGCCTGATGCTCAAGAACCAATCAGTTTTTGTAACACGTGTTACGCAAGCACGCCTGAGCTTCCACAAAAGCCAGTGAGGTTTGTTTTCGTGCATCATGAGCTTGTTTGAATTTGGGTACATAAACATTTTAAGCATATCTAACATTTTAAGCATTATATATAGCAAATATCATAGCAGTGCTCTGGTTCTGCATTTTTATTTCTGTGTGCTAGGGAATGTACCACAATAGCTTTGAATGATGATATATGTGGTGACGATGACAGTGGTGTCCGCACACTCTAAAGGTAACAGTTTGAGATAAACCTCATCGTCATCTGAATAGCATGGTTCATTCAGACGTTCGCCAGAATAGTTTAAATGTAGTCATTTTGGGTCCTACAAAAGATAAACAAGATCGAGCTGTAGAATAGGTCGAGCGCAACTAAAGGGGTTTTGTGGGTATGACAGAATCATACATTTGGCGTGAATTTAATGAGGGTCTCCTGTTTGTCTACAGAAATGGCGTTTTGCTAGAATGAAAATAGACTTGTGTTATACCACAATACAAAATTTTCAAGAAAGCAAAGTCTCGCCACAAAATATACCCCAAATTCTCATACTGTAAATTCAGGGAATTCAGTTAAATCAGCATAGTTTCTATTTTGGCTGTTTTGGCAGTGACTGGCATGCATTGTTGCCAAAAAAAATAACATCATAAGTCATCATAATTGGAATGAGCCTTGTGGTTAGAAATATTGTCAGGGGAAAACACTGGCGGACTGATATTCCTTGCATTTAGATAGTGGAAGCCCTGTTACTTAAGGCTCTTATCGATCTCTTCATCATAGTGACTCATAAATATTCAAACTTGAGTTCATGATATGGAGTTATTTCAAAGTATTTGACAGGCAGGCAACTTTTTGTAGTGAACACAACTAGCATCCAAGTGAAAATTATAACTTTTCAAGTGATCAAGTTCAAGGTCATATGTGACCCTGGACCACAAAATCAGTCATAAGGGTCAATTTTTTGAAATTGAGATTTATACATCATCTGAAAGCTGACTAGATAAGCTTTCCATTGATGTATGGCTTGTTATATTTTATGTTTGTTATATTTGATGTATGGTTTCTTATTAGCAATATTTGGCCGAGATACAACTATTTGAATATCTGGAATCTGACGGTGCAAAAAAATCAAAATACTGAGAAAATCGCCTTTAAAGTTGTCCAAATGAAGTTCTTGGTAAGGCATATTACTAATCAAAAATTAAGTTTTGATGTATTTACGGTAGGAAATTTACAAAATATCTTCATGGAACATGATATTTATTTAATATCCTAATGATTTTTGGTATAAAAGAAAAATCGATAATTTTGATCCATATGCTTTTTTTGGCTATTGCTAAAAATATACCCCAGCGACTTAAGACTGGTTTTGTGGTCCAAGGTCACATATGAATGTAAGAACAATACCATGCATTTCATTGTTTCTGCCTGTATTACTCTCATTATTCTCTATTGTTCTCATTCAAGTCACTTACATATAAATAGTGCCTGCTAAACTAATAAATGAATACATTTATATGGCTCATTAAAAGGTTCATTTAAGACTTAATCTTACCTTAATATATATTTATACATTGAAGATAAAATAGGTGTAGAAATAGTTTTCACGGCTAGTAAATTTTACAATTAATTATATGAAATTTAGAAGTAGAAAGGCTGAATTAGTATTTTATTGAAAAACATACCTCAATAATCTTTGTTTTATTTATAACTTAATTTTTCACTTTATAACTAAATATATATATATAGAGAGAGAGAGAGAGAGAGAGAGACAAATGGACAAAGGCACTGTAAAAAGGTTTTAATGTGACTTTTTAAAAAAAAGATTAAATCTCTTAATTTTAATAAAAATCTAACCCTGGGACATAAATATGCCCATACTGCAAGATACACCTGCAGAGTACTTCTATATCTCTTCAACAAATGAAAACAAATCATCAATTCATAAACAAGCTGATCAAGAGGTGAAAAGCAGGAGCAGTAAGTGTAAACAGTTTAGACCAAAATATGCAACTAAGTCTCTCTGTATGCGTATAAAATCAGCACTGATGACTATAAGTGAAATCCCTGACTTGAAACACTATGTCGACTCGCTTCAGAGGTTGTCTACAACTGATTAACTTGTGCTGCAAGCACTTTGTAAACTGTTTTGCACACCATGCATGAAAAACAGAGGCAGAAAGAACACCACCAGAAGATCAAGCGCTGAGATAAATCAGACGATTGTGCCTTGTTTTGCCGTGACTGGTTCTGCATCCCCCGGTGTGCAGGTTCCAGGGCACATTGAAAAGGTAATCTCATTTGTACTGTGTGACAGCTTATTTGCAACTTTGCTTACTGGCAATTTCCTAATGGGCCCCATGAGTAGTGTCTGGCTCTCTCTCCTCCTTCTTTCCTTCTCTCTCACTTGCTCTCTCACAAATTTGATCAAAAAGACACTCTAAAACAAATCTGAAAACAATTACTGTTGCCCCAGCATGAAATCCCTGTGTTTTCCAGCTGTCAGTCAACTGGCAATTAATGCCTTTGCCTATGAATAAATCCAACACTTTAAGTACACAGAATTATCTACAAGTATGAGAAGGGACGAGTTCCAGATAAGCAATGTTTTGCTTTTTTGAGCCATATTACTACATGCAACAAGCTGAAAATGAGACGTCTGCACTCCAAAAAGAGGACTACAGCGATACGGCGAGAGAGCAGATGTGCTGAAAGACAAAAGGGAAAAAAACACAAATACAATAACAGTTTCTGTACTTCTTAAGAATACAAGCGACAATCTATCTTTTATATCACCTCTCGACATGAGGCTAACGCTCCCAGCGTCGGATATCCTGTTGTATACACAAAACGTTAGGGCCGACGTGTTCTTCTTCCCACAACACTTCCTTTGTTGCACGAGATAAACCTCAAGCAGCTGTGGAGGAAAGAGAGAACATGTTTTAGAATGTCAATGTGACAGTGACCTGCTTCGCAGCAGGCTGACCGTGACAGAAACAGAATAAACCTACTTTACCTTTTAAAGCTCACAAACTCAAAGCCGCACACAAGATTTCAGTCCTCGAGGAAAAAGAAAATTCTTAGAGTGGATTCGTAGGCCTCTCATACATCTTTAATGCTGTCAAATAGCAAAGATGGTTTCAGGAAATGTCAAGAATGACAAAGGCCACCGTGTTGTATTTTCTCTTTAATAATGTAAAAATCCCACAGCTACGACCAAGCTTCTGCACTAAACCGGTTAATGTGCAGGTGCTCATTCAACTAAATCCAGTGTTGTTCTTAAATTATTTACCATAATATGTCCCGTACGAAAGCATGTTACCACAAGACGATGTGCATATTTATTTTCAGCAAGCTGCTGTTAAGTTGGATTGAGGGGTTGGATCACACAACTTCAAAACAAACAAAAAAACATCCTTTCAATTCAAATAGAGATGCTAATTCGAACACAACAGGCCTATCGTTTGCCAGACATTAGCATCAAAATGCAAGTGTGAGAAAAGGTAGAAGGCCCACAAACAAAGCACAAAACCCTTGCATGAAGGGTGAAAACCCTCTTTCCTCAAGCAACTAATCAAACAACTGCACATGTAGATCTAAACCCAAGATTACACAAGATAATGAATTCTAATTTGAGTGTTTAAGCATGTAAATATTCATCAGGATAGCAGAAGCAGATACAAGCCTGCGGCCGTGGCTTTTGATTCTAAGCACAGAACAGACGAACTGGTGTTTGCTTTGGAGACACTAAGAGAGTTATATTTTTTTAAGCATGGCAAAGAAAGTTGCATTTACCGTGCAAAGTCAGGACCTTTTTCAAATCAATTTCTGGGCATGAAAGTTGCAGAATGCTGTTATTTGTTTGCCTCATTCTGACAGAAGGCAAATTAGAATAACAGATAAACTGCATAAAGTTCTCTGGCAATAAAACAGATCAAATGTCTAAATATGACTTTCAAGACTTTAAAATACAGGCACAATCAAGTCTATTTCAGTAATTTATTGCATTTTCAGTTTATTAGGCTTATGAGTTGTCTAAGATAAAGTAGTTCATAATATAAGAAAAACACAATTTCACTTTATATATATTATATATAGTTTACTTATATATACAGTAAGAGTATTTACTTGTCTCATTAGTGTTTAGTGCAGTTGTCGTTGCTAGGAAACGCTTGTTTTGTTTACTGTGTGGAGGCGTGCTGATATCGCGTTTGGTCTCGTTCTGTATCGCGTATCTTGTCAGTGTCTGCGCTTGTTTGGCCATTTGTTGTGGAGAAAATTAGGAAAGTGTGTCCAGCTGAATTAATTTAGTATTCTGTTAGACGGGTATAAAAAAGCTTAGTTTACCGCCTCCTCTTTCCTACTACTTGTTTTACTTCTGTTTCCGTTTTTATAACCATTTCTTACTATGTGTCAGTAAGTTGTTGTTTTTTAGCATGTGTGTTTGGCAGTGTTATTTTTTAGGATTACTGATAAACTACTGTCATTTGATTTGTATTATTTGTATTTGTTATTTATTTAAATTTTAGTTAAACTATGTCTGAATTTATTATGTCTGTATAGGTCTTTTATTAAGTTTTTAGTTGTATTTAATTTGAATTATTTTAATACTTCAACAAACTAAATGAAATTAAATAATATATATATTGAATTTATAAATGTGTGTGTATGTATGTGTGTATATACATACATACATACATACATACATATGTATGTGTGTGCGGTTGTACATACATATATGTAGTTTTTTTTTTGGTGTTTGGCTTAGTGTTATGTTAGAATCATTATTATACTCTTATACATTTTGTTCTTTAATATTTTGAATTGTTTTTAGCTTTATTTTTTGTTTTTCATTTAAATGTTAAGTTTTGAAATTGTGTTGTATGCATTTGTCACTTTTATTTAATCTCTTTATTTTTAAAATATGTATAGGTAGTATTTATAAAGTTTTAGCTTTTAGTTTTGGATCTGTTTTAGTTGTTTTAATACTACAATTGAGTGCTTCTGTTGTCCTCATTTGTTATTTATTCTGGAAAATGATCCAATATTACATATCTGTGAGCGGCAAAAGTATGGGAATCTCTAGGATTAGCTGTTAATTTGAAGGTAACATTAGAGTGCATCTGTTCAGAGGTGTTTTAATCAGTGAGATGACTATCAGGTGTCAGTGCGTGCCCTGTTTTATCTAAAGAACAGGGATCTATCAAAGTTTGGTCATGTTTGTGGAAGTGTATCATGGCACAAACAAATGAGATCTCTGAGGACCTCAGAAAAAGAGTTGATGTTGTTCATCAGGCTAGAAAAGGTTTCAAAGCCATCTCTAAAGAGTCTGCACTCCACCAATCCACAGTCAGACAGATTGTGTACAAATGTAGGGAAATTCAAGACCACTATTACCCTCCCCAGGAGTGGTGCACTAACAAAGAACACTCTAAAAGCAAGACGTGTAAAAGTCCACTAGGTTTCAAAGGACTGCAGGCTAACTTCTAAGCAACTAAAGGCCTTTCTCACATTGGCTAATGTTAATGTTTATGAGCCCATCATCAGGAGAACACTGAACAACAATGGTGTCCATGGCAGAGTCGCAAGAAGAAAGCCACTGATCTCCAAATAGAACATTGCTGCCCATCTGCAGTTTGCTAAAGATCATGTGGACAAGCCAGAGGAATACTGGAGAAATGTTTTGTGGATGGATGAGACCAAAATAGAACTTTAGGGTGTGTTACGTTTGAAGAAAGAAAACACTGCATTCCAGCATAAGAACTTTATCCCATCTGTGAAACATGGTGGTGTTCGTATCATGGTTTGGGCCTGTTTTGCTGCATCTGGTCCAGGACGGCTTGCCATCATTGATGGAACAATGAATTCTGAATTATACCAGCAAATTCTGAATGAAAATGTCAAGGCATCTGTCCGAGAAGTGAATCTCAAGAGAAAGTGGGTCATGCAGCAAAGACAACGACCCCAAGCACACAAGTCGTTCTACCAAAGAATGGTTAAAGAAGAACAAAGTTAATGTTTTGGAATGACTGAGTCAAATTCCGGACCTTAATGCAATTGAAATTTTGTGGAAGGAGCTGAAGCAAGCAGTTCATAGGAGGAAACCCACCAACATCACAGAGTTGAAGCGGTTCTGTTCTGAGGAAGGGGCTAAAATTCCTACAAGCTGCTTTGCAGGACTGATCAGCAGTTACAAGAAACGTTACCTGCAGTTATTGCTGCAAAAGGTATTTTTTTCATAGATTGCACACATTTAAGCAATTAAGATCACAATTACAACAACTTAGGACAGTAAAGAGACCTTTCTAAAAAAAAAACACACAGCAGAAGAAAGATGCCCAGGGTCCCTGATCACCTACGTACCACACAGCATGCCATAGTCCTTCTGCAGGGAGGCATGAGGACTGCAGATGTTGCCAGAGCAATGCCCATAATGTAAGATGCCTAAGACCGTGCTACAGTGAGACAGAAAAGACAGCTGACCTCGCATGTTTTTCCCCAGACGTGTCCAAGAACTTGTAAGTGCCTTGGTGGAAGCGCGGAGTAACGTCTCGCAGCCAGAACTGGCTAAGCTGGTGCAGTCCATGAGGATGAGATGCACTGTAGTACTTAAATCAGATACTGACTACAACCTTTAATACTAAAAAAAAAAAAACTGACATGCTGCAAAGGGATGGCTCCCTTAAAAGGCGTGTATAAAAAGAAAAAGAAAGTACTAGAACTGAAAAGAATTGAAAATAATGTATGAAGTCTGCTTGGAAAACTAGTGTAACTGTAGGTTTGGCTCTGTTCGTGTGGCCTATAAAAGAGTTGGAAGGAGAAAATGGCCAAAAAAAAAAAGTTTGAGAAAACCCTGAATAACTGCATTTGACATGCTTGTTGCAAGGAAACGCTGAATGTGGTTTCACTGCATGTAAAAAGAGGCAGCAAATGTAGCAGGTAGAGTGAGACACTGAGCTGATGAGACTGTGTGTCTGGCAGTTTGTCTCTCCTTACCTTCTTTCAGCACATTACTCCATTTATATTATACTCACCTGAGTGATTTTACCACGCAAATCTGTGAAGAGTTGGTCCTGGATATTGCGAGGAAAACAAGACGGCACGTAAACCAAGTGAAGCCTTTAAATTTTGTAAGATAGAGACTGTGGTTGGAGCAAATGGCCTTCTGGTGATGAGATAAGGTCATTTGTTTCACTGTCGGATTCAATTTTCTCAACAACAAAAAAATCATTGATGGGGTTCAACAAGCAGGATTTGTGTTGAGAAGTTTCTGAGCATTTCTAGTCGTAATCTTACTACAAAAAAATATAATAATAATAATAATGTAACAACTTTAGTCAATTCTATTACAAAAAATGCACTACACAATGTTTCAAATGTATCCTGGTGAGGTTGCACCGCAATCTTCTGTCACAAGTTCACCTACCCATTCAGTCTTAACAGTTAATAGCAACAAACTTAGCTTACTGTCCTCAACGGAGTCTCGAACCCGAGGTTATTGCAGTTCTACATAGAGGGAGATTGACAGAAATAGAGGAGGAGATGGATGCTGGAAGAACTGTGTGGGAGATCGTAATGATAATTGATAGGACTGAATGATTAGGCTCCTCCCGAACCTATGTTTGAAACTTCATTTATTGATGTTCCTACCATCAGCTCCATACAAAAACTGCAACAACATCCATATTAACTTGTAAACAGGCTTGAATAAGTGCTAGGTTCAATAAACCAAAGTGAAAGGAAGAAAGAAATTCATATATCCGTTGGTTGGAACGACATGAGGGTGAGTAATATCAAAGTAAACTATAACTTTAAAGGGTTAGTTCACCCAAAAATGAAAATTCTGTAATTAATTACTCACCCTCATGTCGTTTCAAACCCATAACCCGTCAAATCACAACAATGTAGGAAACATGATCCGGCGTGACGCAGCTGACACAGAACAGCATACGTTGTTTATGTCCAGCGGATACTCTTCAAAATGGCGCTACAGGGTGATGCGGAGGAGACGAATTGTTGAATAAAGTCGTTATTTCTTTTTTCTTTTGCGCACAAAAATTATTATCGTAGCTTCGTATAATTACGGATGAATCCCTGATGTCACATGGATTATTTTACAGATCTCCTTGCATCGTTTCTGGACTTGGGAACATTTCAGTTGCATTACTATCTATGGAAGGTCAGACAGCTCTCAGATTCCATCAAAAATATCTTAATTTGTGTTCCGAAGATTAACAAAGGTCTTACGGGTTTGAAATGACATGAGGGTGAGTAATTAATGACATAATTTTCATTATTGGGTTAACTAACCCTTTAAAGACTAATATTAGTTCCTTCTTAAAAGAAAAATTCTGTCATAATTTTCTCACCCTCACGTCATTGCAAAAAAGACTTCCCTTTTCTCACCCTCACGTCATTGCAAAAAAGACCTTCTAAACACAGTTGATGATATTTTTAACAAAGCCTGAGAGATTTCTGTCCCTCTATTGAAAGTACAAGCATCCAAGACTTTGAAGCCTCAAAAATGCCAAACCTTCTGTCTGAGACCGGAGACGCAGAGGGAGGAGCTCCACCCACTTGCCCTGTGTGATGTGAAGTGAACACCCAGGCATGTGGGAGTGTTTATGACAGCACTAATTAGTGTCTCTAGACTTGCAGTGTGCACACACAACATCTACACATAAGGAGTTAAAATATTTAAAAGATGGTGTTTATAATGAGACTCGGAATTGAGAGAACCACAGAAGTCACTCAGCTATGCCTGGGCAAAAAGAGGGATACAAGCAAACAACTTTATCAGGACAGGAGCAGATCAAATTGACTGCTGTTGTCTTTGTTCACCATCTCTCTCATTACAACTGTGCTGAAGAAAATAGTTTTCTGCACACTGCATGGCATAAATCACCAATGACTTTTAATATAGCACAATTGTGACTCTCCATTTTTCCAGTGACCTTTGTTCTGGAAGTACTTTTCCCATTCATTTTCCCCATTTCCATAAGGCATTCAAGACTTGATTTTAATTATAACATTACAATATGCAATTCAAAGCAAATAAAAAGTGCTTGAAAACTGGAAAAAGCAGACAATGAATCACTGCAAATGACGTAAATCAGAAATGATGATACAATATAAATCTATTGGCTATAAATAATTGCTTATAATTATGAAATACCACATCTGAAGTAGGTATTAGTGTTACAAAATACAAAAATCTGATCTATGAGAATGTAGGAATAATAACAATTTGTTTTATGGGGGTTATTGGAGCTTAATTGCCGCAATTATAGCGGCAAGTATTCGGATTGGTGGAGCTGTGGGATTGTGGGAAATGTAGTATTTTACAGTGAAATTATTCCAATAAATACACATTTAAAAGCATATAATACCACTTAACAGCCTCAAAGATCATGTTAGGTCTGTCTCGAAATGTTTATATGTTATCAATAAAAGTCTATTTCTATAGGGATAAAAGGAGTAGGACTTTTTTTTTTTTTTGCTCTAGTAAGCAACAAAGGAATTTAGAACTCTCTGAAAATCTATTGCAAGTATCTGTGGCAATTTCCTCAAAAAGAAAACCTATTCATGTCATTTGTCTTTTAAATACTAACTTCAAAGGCTCACTGACTGACATATTTTTTTATGCCCAACATACAGACTCCAGAACACCCACATACACACCATGTTCATTCTACATTAGGGCTGCACGATAAATCGCATGCGATATTTAACGCGCATCTTGTCAGAAAGCCGGTTCTGTAATCAAAAATCGGTTCTGTAAATCTCCATCACGTGCGTGCTTTCACATTGAGCAGCATTAACAGAGCCGTTGTTCACTGACGAGCTGCGCAAAA